GTGCCACATCAGCGTGTGCAATCGATTGTCTGTGGTGTCTCTCCATAACGTCACCCACCTTTTGTGGGGCAAAGCTGTATGTAGTTCTCTCAACCTCTGTAGTACTGTGGCTTGGTGGTATCGTTTGACATCTGGTAGCGCCAGCCCTCCCCAACGTCTCGGAAGGCAGAGCTTTTCGTATCTAAATCGTGCCCTGACCCCTCTCCACACGTATTTTATGAGCGCCGCCTTGAGTGTTGCGAAAAACGATTGTGGTATCGTTTGTGGTGCTGTATGAAAAAGATACAGGATCCTGGGGAGAATATTCATTTTTATAACCGCTATCCTCCCCAACTATGATATGTGCGCATAGTTCCATCTCTTTAAATCTCCAAGGATGGTGGTTAGAAGGGGTGTGTAGTTGTGCGCGTAGATGTCCTTTACGTCATGTGTGATCCATAGTCCCAAGTATTTCATTCGTTCATGGCACCAGTGAAATGGGAGTCCTCGTTCCAGTTGTGTGCATTCGGTCTTGGGTACGGAAACGTTAAGAATTTCACACTTTGTCAGGTTGAGTTTTAGCCCCGAGAGGCGCCCATAGTTTTCGAATTCGGTCAGTAACTGTGGTATGGACTCTACTGGATTCTTAAGGAAAAACAGCATATCGTCTGCGTATGCAGCGACTTTGTGTTCTTGCGTTTTGTAGCTGAGCCCTGTGATCCCTTGGTTATTCCGAATGTGGTCCAGGAGCGGCTCCAGGGTCAGGGCAAATATGATCGGGGATAGCGGGCATCCCTGTCTTGTGCTGTTCCGTATATCAAAGCTATCTGTGAGAGCCCCATTCACCCTGACCCTGGCATTCGGCTGGTTGTATAGCGCGGTTATCCAAGTGAGTAATCCATGCCCCATGCCCATCTTGCGTAGTGTCTCCATCATGAAGTTCCAGTCCACTCTGTCGAATGCTTTCTCCGCATCTGTGGAGAGTAGAAGTAGCTTCGTCTTTGTTTGTTTGGCTAGGTGTTGTACTGCGAATAGTCTGAGGGTGCAGTCCCTGGCCTCTCTCCCTGGTATAAAACCTGTCTGGTCTGGATGTACTAGTTTCGTCAGGTGGGTCTGGAGTCTTGTCGCTAGCACTTTGGAGAACAACTTTACGTCGGTATTAAGGAGTGATATTGGGCGGTAATTTCCAACGTGCTCCGTGTTCTTACCCGGCTTTGGGATGACCGTGATGGTTGCTGCTAAGGTTTCCCTGTTGAAGGTGTGTCCTTCGTGTATGCTGTTTAATGCCTTGGTTAGGTGGGGTATGAGAATGTTTCCGAATTTCTTAAGGTATTCTAACGGGAAACCATCCGGTCCTGGCGCTTTCCCAGTTTTTGCTGCCTTCAGTGCCTGTTCGAGTTCCTCTTCGGTGATCGGCATCTCTAGTTCCTCTGCTTCCTCTGGTGTGAGGGTATCCGGTTGAAAGCCTCCTAAGTAGTCTGTCGTTTCTGCCTTCCTCGTGGTTTGGGAAATATTGTCTTCATCTCCACGTGTATTGTATAGCTGTGTGTAGAACCGTTGGAATTCGCTCGCGATTTCTTCTGGAAATTGAGTTAATGTGCCCTGTGTGGTGCGCAGTGCGTGTACCTGTGCTCTGCTTTGTATTCTTCTCAGCATCCTTGCTAGCAATTTACCCCCCTTGCTGGCGTGCATGTAGAAGAATGCTCGTGTTCTTCGGATCGTTCTGGCGTGTTTGCTCTCAATAAGTTCTGAGAGTTGCCGTCTGTTTGACATTAGGTCCCTGTAGGTCTGGTCTTGTTGGTCTCGTTTGTGGGCCATTTCTAGGTCAGATATCTTCTGCGTGAGGTCCGCTAACTGTTGTCCGATTTCCTTTTTCCGTCGGGAGGCCATACGGATTAGGTGACCTCTGATGACACTTTTGTGTGTTTCCCATATCGTCATATCTGAAACCTCCTCGGTGTTATTCTCCGTGAAGTATTGTTGCAAGTGTTTTTCGAGTTGTGTCTTGAGTATCTTATCCATCAGGAGTGAGTCATTCAGTCGCCATGCGGTTCTAGTTGGTCTGAACATGGGCGATGTCATCGTGACTTGTGCTGCACTGTGATCTGACCACGGTGTAGTGTATATGTCTGCCCTCTGCATGTACGTGAGGCCTTCCTGTTGGATGAATACGTAGTCTATTCGGGAGTATCTTTTGTGTATCGTGGAGTAGTACGTATAATCCCGGTCGTCTGGGTGTCGTGCTCTCCATGAGTCCACCAGACGTAGGTCCCGGAGTGCCTTGTGTACCGTCCTTATCGCCGAGTGTGGGATGCTACTCCGACCCGTGGAGGTGTCGATGAGGGGGTCTAGTGGGATGTTGAAGTCCCCTGCGAATACGAGGATCCCTTCAGTGAACCGTGATAGCTTCGTGAGTGTTCGTCTGATGAAGCTAGCTTGTCCGGTGTTGGGCGTGTAGATTGTGGCGAAAGTGTACGTTTTTAGTGCTATTTCTCCCTTAATGAAGAGGTATCTGCCTCCTTCATCAATCTTTGATTCCCTTAGGGTAAATTGCAGGTGTGTCGCCAGGAGTATCGCTGTTCCCGCCTTGCGAGATGTCGGATGATTGCTATAGTAGTTTACTGGGTAGTTTTTGTCCTTTAGTAGTGCGTTTGATTCCACTCTGAGGTGAGTTTCCTGTAGGAGGGCAACAGAGATCTGTTGTCTCTTAAGTCTTCGTAGTAAG